GTAAAGTTCTTATAAATATTCTCTATAATATTAATAACAAAAGACAAGAAGCATTAATCATAATGAAATACAGATATAAACATCTACCGAAACCTGATTCATAGCAAATAGACACCCACAATTGCCGTAAATAATCAGGCTATAATATTATAGCCGATTATTTAATCGTGGGTGTCTATTTACATAATGAAATATTAAACTTATTACATAAACATACATAAAAATCCATTAAAAACATTAAAATGCACTAAAAATTAAGATGCAAATAGTAACATTAAAAGTGAAAGAAAGTATACAAATAAAAAAAAAAAAAAACACAATGTAAGATAAATTAAAACTTTTAAACAATAGGCTAAATGATGACAGAAAACTTATCACAAATTGAATTCATTTTTATGAGTATCATCCTTCTGTAAACTTAAATTTTGTATATGTTTCTTAGATGATCTGTTTTTGCTTATTTTGTATAAATGAACTAATTTAGTTCTAAATTTGTCAATTGAATATATGCCTTCAAATCCTATACTGGAAAAGTCTGGTGACATTTTCCTCCCTCCAGATCTTTAGTGCCATCTTACTCTATCATCTTAGATAAAGAATAAGGTAAATAATAAAATTAAGAGGAATGAATGGTCACTCTTACAAATTTCAGAATCAATAATAATATTTTATCAATGCTAACTGATGATGATCATACAAATCTGACCATTTCCATTAATTTGAGTGTGTGTGTGTCTGTGTGTATCATATGTATATGAATGACTTAAAATATCATATATAAATAAAAATTTATAAATTTTATCAATTAATTATAATAATTAAACTTAGAAATGATATTTTAAGTCATTTATTTTCTTTAAATGTTACTGTTTTTAAAAGTATTGATAATCTTTGAAGTATTGAAGTAATAAAATATAGATAGGAAACTATCTATATTTTATTACTTCATTTTATAATTTCCTGGTCACGTTAATTCAAGATATTACTAAAATAAATGTATTAGGTCATTGCAAGTGAAATGATCAATTTTTTCTATAATACACTACTTGTCTACTTGTGAGCATGATGTTGGCCTCTATTTCTAGATTTTTTATACTGTCTCTGGACACAAGATCATCAGTGGCGTAGCATAGTGGGGGGCGGCAGGGGTGGCACTTTCTAGGGGCGGCAAAATTTCACAATAAATAATAATAATATCTTGTAAAAATTTGAACCATTCTAATCTAAATTAGCGTCGTACCTACATTAGTGCCATCATCTGGACAGTCCGGGAATCGACTCACTGCCCGTGTGAACTAGTAATTTCATCTGACGATATCCTGCGCAACCTGTTGACCCTTTTTTTTTCTTGTACGATTCATTCGTATTCAGGTATACCTCCAATATTCAATAGAGCTATTTTAAGCAGGTCGTTGCACTAGCACGGAATTTTTCATTGCTTGTTATGTGACAAAACTGAATTTTAGTCTTTTAAATTGAGATAACTAAATAAGGGGGGACAAAATTTTCCTCCGCCCCGGGCAGCTGACACCCACGCTATGCCACTAAAGATCATCCTTAGAACATCAATTTATTTTCCAAATTTTATTTATGACCAATTTTTATTTACAAGTTTGAACATTTATTAGTTTAATTTAAAACTTGCATATATAATCAAAGAAGTCTCCACAACATGAATACACTTCTCCCAATGCAACTGAAGTGCATTAATCAATGCCAATTTGATAGAAATCACAAGAATGAGAAGTCAAAATGTCATTAAAGGCACTTTTTATTGCATCTTCTTTCTTGAAGACCTTCTCCACCAAAAAACTGTCCAAATGTTTAAAAAAAATGATAGTCTGTTGGCAAAAGGTCTGGACAATAAAGTGGATGAGGAAAAATTTTGTTTGAATAAATTCATTTTTTTTTTTTGCAAATAATTAAAGAACTATAAACCTCTAAATGACAGTCCTTATCTCTCTCACTCAGTTCATATGGTACCCATTTGTTGGGCTTCTTGATTTTCCCTAATGCATTTAGATGTCAAGAAAGGGATGAATAACATACATTCAACCTTTCTGTAATTTCCCAGTCAGAATTTCTGATTCAACAATATTCTTCAAACTATCATTATTGATGACAGATGGTGCATGTCCATGAGGCAAATTTTTGAGATTTGTATTTCCAGAAGAAATTTTTCAAACCAATACATGATAGTATCCTCACTCACAGAAAAGCTTTCTGCTTCACTGAAAGCTTTATTAGTATTTTGGGTTGCCTCGGCTGCATGATATCCCCACTTACGCTCATACAAAAAAATTATTCTATTTTTTTGTTTCCATATTATCGAAAAAACTACTTTTAAACATATGGAACTCACAATATAATTGAGATTACATTTTAAAATCTACATATTATATGTGTTCTTCCAATTGCGCTGCTCACTGGAAAAACATTGAACTAAAAGAGTGGAAAGTTTAAATTTTAAAAAACAACCATTTCATTTGCAGTGACATAAAATAACATGAACAGCAAAAAGTATTCTCTTATCTCAAATTATCAGTAAACAAATAGCAGCAGTCTGTCATATGTATATTGATAAATTTTGTATAATATTATACATAAAAAATTATAAAATTATTAATTACTTTCCAAATGATTTCAAAGCAAAAAATATTAATGAAATAAGTACTTCATGTTTTGCAACAGCAACAACCCTAATTTGTCTAATAGTTGAATATTTAAATAAAGAACTTCATTTATAAATTAAAAATAAAAAAAATTTCATTCATATAGTAAGTCACTGGACTCTTCACAAAAAATGATAGTCCCATTCATAAGGAAGCATTAAAATAAGCAATTATTATAAAAGAATTATTGTTAGAAAAACATTATGTATACAGTAAAACCTGCGTAAACTGGAATTGTACAATTTTCTGGTTTGGAAGATTTCCATTTTGGACAGATTTTAGTATTTTTTTCTTTTTTTATCTTTAAACTACACTAGATAAATGTCACACAGTTATATTCAAATTTTACAGTAAAATCACTTTTACATATGTAAAAAAATGTTATTACTCAGTTTAATCCAAAGTGATTCCAATTAAAGACAGGAGCATCCAAATGTAAGAATCAAGAACTATTTGATTGCAAAAAGTTCTTATTGTCATCAAGAATTTGCACTAGGTATTTGATTACTTCTTGGATGTAATCCTTATGAGCTCAAACCAAAGCAAACAAGACAATTCAAATTCCAAAAATTAGTATCTTGCTCTGCTGATGGAAACTCTATTGCATTACAGTAATACAAAAACTAAGTTATTCTGAGCTCTGCCTTCTTTAAGGAATTTTAATACTATAAGTAATCATTAACTTCAGTCATTGCAATTATTAACACATTAATCAACTTATTTTCAAATATTCCATACTAGTTACTAACTATTCCATACAAATCAAATTGACAGCACTGTGTTACCTTATTCTCATTGTTTTCAGGAATTACATTTGTTATTTGTTCTCAATAAATCAATTCTTGGAAACTCATTTGATTTTTCAAAGTTCTCAATCCTTAAAAATATTCAATTCTGCCCTATGTTAATTTCAACAAAAACTAACACTATATTAACAAAAACCTTATATCTGTGTTCCCTTGTCACACAACCTCTGTTTCTTTGAAAAGGTTCAAAACCATTTTCAGAATAGTTTTTCATGCTCTGAAATGCAGTCTATACTTGGAGGCAATTTTACTTATTTGTCTACAAATGGAATCTTAATTTTTCACTTTATTCAAGTTATGTTACATTCTTTGTATTGAAAAATCTCTTCTGTTTTCATGCTGGACAGGTTTCCAGATTAGAGTATAATTTAACATAAGAAAACTCTGTTCCAAAAATTTTTTTATTTAGGCAGGTTTCTGTTTTATTCCGGTTCCATTTTGGACAGGTTTTACTGTATTTATATTCTAATGAACACACAATAATGTAAGAATTTAAAAAGAATACTCATGCTATACTAAAGCCATGTTTATATAAATCAAATAACTATAATACTGTATTATGTAAAATTTTAAAAATTTTCTGATATATGAGAGATAAAGTGTTAATTATATAAATTTAACTATGGTTTTAGTATTATGGTAAAAACTTAAATATATTTTCANCCCTCCAGATCTTTAGTGCCATCTTACTCTATCATCTTAGATAAAGAATAAGGTAAATAATAAAATTAAGAGGAATGAATGGTCACTCTTACAAATTTCAGAATCAATAATAATATTTTATCAATGCTAACTGATGATGATCATACAAATCTGACCATTTCCATTAATTTGAGTGTGTGTGTGTGTCTGTGTGTATCATATGTATATGAATGACTTAAAATATCATATATAAATAAAAATTTATAAATTTCATCAATTAATTATAATAATTAAACTTAGAAATGATATTTTAAGTCATTTATTTTCTTTAAATGTTACTGTTTTTAAAAGTATTGATAATCTTTGAAGTATTGAAGTAATAAAATATAGATAGGAAACTATCTATATTTTATTACTTCATTTTATAATTTCCTGGTCACGTTAATTCAAGATATTACTAAAATAAATGTATTAGGTCATTGCAAGTGAAATGATCAATTTTTTCTATAATATAAAATGCTTCTTATGGATTGTATAGTCATTTTATATTCATTATGATGTTAAATATTCTATTTTTTTTCACATATAGAATGTCTATGATATAAAAAGTTCAGATCAAAATTCAGTGGAAAAATCTTTAGATTCTGAAAACTAATGATTCTTGCAGGACCATTAGTATGTAACTTCAAAAAAATTTTCTCTCAGTCCAGAAAGCTGTCTGTAGAAAATCAAATCTTCAATTTAGGTTCTGGTCTGGGTGATAATTTTTCAGAAGTTTAAATTTTTTTCTATTTAAATTAATTTCAGCATTTTTTCAGCTTTTCTTATTTTTTAACAATATAAATCATAATGTAAATAAAAGATGGAGAGATGAAATTACCACTCATCTTGGCAACACTTGAACATTGGTCAGACAGGATCGACTTAGTTGAAGCATGTTGGGGCACATCTTTACCCATCAGTGGGATGAAACACACTAACAACAACAACATAATATTTCTATATTTTTTCTTNATAGTTGATGATTTAAATAAAGAACTTCATTTATAAATTAAAAATAAAAAAAATTTCATTCATATAGTAAGTCACTGGACTCTTCACAAAAAATGATAGTCCCATTCATAAGGAAGCATTAAAATAAGCAATTATTATAAAAGAATTATTGTTAGAAAAACATTATGTATACAGTAAAACCTGCGTAAACTGGAATTGTACAATTTTCTGGTTTGGAAGATTTCCATTTTGGACAGATTTTAGTATTTTTTTCTTTTTTTATCTTTAAACTACACTAGATAAATGTCACACAGTTATATTCAAATTTTACAGTAAAATCACTTTTACATATGTAAAAAAATGTTATTACTCAGTTTAATCCAAAGTGATTCCAATTAAAGACAGGAGCATCCAAATGTAAGAATCAAGAACTATTTGATTGCAAAAAGTTCTTATTGTCATCAAGAATTTGCACTAGGTATTTGATTACTTCTTGGATGTAATCCTTATGAGCTCAAACCAAAGCAAACAAGATAATTCAAATTCCAAAAATTAGTATCTTGCTCTGCTGATGGAAACTCTATTGCATTACAGTAATACAAAAACTAAGTTATTCTGAGCTCTGCCTTCTTTAAGGAATTTTAATACTATAAGTAATCATTAACTTCAGTCATTGCAATTATTAACACATTAATCAACTTATTTTCAAATATTCCATACTAGTTACTAACTATTCCATACAAATCAAATTGACAGCACTGTGTTTCCTTATTCTCATTGTTTTCAGGAATTACATTTGTTATTTGTTCTCAATAAATCAATTCTTGGAAACTCATTTGATTTTTCAAAGTTCTCAATCCTTAAAAATATTCAATTCTGCCCTATGTTAATTTCAACAAAAACTAACACTATATTAACAAAAACCTTATATCTGTGTTCCCTTGTCACACAACCTCTGTTTCTTTGAAAAGGTTCAAAACCATTTTCAGAATAGTTTTTCATGCTCTGAAATGCAGTCTATACTTGGAGGCAATTTTACTTATTTGTCTACAAATGGAATCTTAATTTTTCACTTTATTCAAGTTATGTTACATTCTTTGTATTGAAAAATCTCTTCTGTTTTCATGCTGGACAGGTTTCCAGATTAGAGTATAATTTAACATAAGAAAACTCTGTTCCAAAAATTTTTTTATTTAGGCAGGTTTCTGTTTTATTCCGGTTCCATTTTGGACAGGTTTTACTGTATTTACATTCTAATGAACACACAATAATGTAAGAATTTAAAAAGAATACTCATGCTATACTAAAGCCATGTTTATATAAATCAAATAACTATAATACTGTATTATGTAAAATTTTAAAAATTTTCTGATATATGAGAGATAAAGTGTTAATTATATAAATTTAACTATGGTTTTAGTATTATGGTAAAAACTTAAATATATTTTCATCATCATAATTAAAATCACAGTTATCTTTATTTGAACAGAAATATTTTAAGTAAAGATTTTTTATATTTTATTTCATGTTATAAAATGCACAAACTTTTCAGACAATCTTGTATTTTTTTAAAATAATAGATCTAGGTATTAAAGCTTTTATAAAACAATTAAATTAAGTGAAAATCATGTTATTATAAATAAAAAAGTTTCATTACTATGATTATATCATTTGACAATCTAAATGTGTTTTTTTTAATGTATTTTATCTTAAAAATAAATTCCATAATGTATTTCATAATTTTGACAAATTACATTTTTTTCCAATTTTTTTCTTAAATTATAAATATAATTATCGTAATACTGTAGAAAAATAATCCACAAATTTTTTATTTATTTATCAATGATTAGTTAAACTGGTGTTTGTTTAATATTAAGTTGAAAAAGCAGCTTGAAATTTCTTTGTATAAACTATTAGTAATTTTATCATAAAATTTAACTCTTACTACAATATGCAAAGGGAAAAGACAAACTTTTAACTAATTTTAATTAACAATTTTTTCTATAATATAAAATGCTTCTTATGGATTGTATAGTCATTTTATATTCATTATGATGTTAAATATTCTATTTTTTTTCACATATAGAATGTCTATGATATAAAAAGTTCAGATCAAAATTCAGTGGAAAAATCTTTAGATTCTGAAAACTAATGATTCTTGCAGGACCATTAGTATGTAACTTCAAAAAAATTTTCTCTCAGTCCAGAAAGCTGTCTGTAGAAAATCAAATCTTCAATTTAGGTTCTGGTCTGGGTGATAATTTTTCAGAAGTTTAAATTTTTTTCTATTTAAATTAATTTCAGCATTTTTTCAGCTTTTCTTATTTTTTAACAATATAAATCATAATGTAAATAAAAGATGGAGAGATGAAATTACCACTCATCTTGGCAACACTTGAACATTGGTCAGACAGGATCGACTTAGTTGAAGCATGTTGGGGCACATCTTTACCCATCAGTGGGATGAAACACACTAACAACAACAACATAATATTTCTATATTTTTTCTTTTAAAATTTAAATACAAATTAAAATAGATTTCTTTAATCTAAAAACAGGTACTGATGCTATATTGTTTTGTTGTTGGGAGCAGAATCAGAATTAGTTAGAAAATACTATTAGAAAACCCATTGTAAGAAACAGAAATTTTGAATATTAAATGTACTTGTTTAAACCTAAAGAAAAATTTATTTTCTATATAGAATTTTACATCTGTTTGCTAGTATTGTTCAGAAAATAAAAACTGTATAAATATTTTTTTATACAATTATTTTTCATAAAATTATTTTATAAAAAAACTATCTTTATTGAAATATTATAATTAAAATACAATAAAACAAAATATTAGTTTTATGATAAATGCAACTAAATGAAATGTTTCTTAAGACATAAATTAAAATGATAAAAACATATGTGACAATATTAAGCAATTCACTGACAAAATGTATACAATTTATAAAAAGAATTTATTAAATAACCAAAAAATTATATCAAAACTTTAGTTTTCTATATGTTCTTCTATATTAAAAATTTTAAATTTAAATACATATATATGTACTACCTATAGAAATTTTAAATCCATGGGGTATCCACCAGATATTATATTTAATAAATATAAAACATAAAAAGTAAATACTTACTTGCTTGCTCTGTTGTAACTCTGTACTGATAATAATTAAAATATTCACCACCAAATAGAAATGCAAATTTAGGATTATCACGTTGCTTTTGTTTTGTCATATGCTCAAATTCAGGTCCATTCCTAGCAACAAACTGAGCCAACTTATCAATTATGTTGCGTAATTCTTGATCTGAAAATATAGATTAAAATTTTTAATTAATTATCAAATTTTTTATAAAATTTTAGTTGTTAAAAATAATTGTAAAGAATATTTACAAAAAATTTTATCAAAAATAAACAATTATCTCTTTTTAATATATTGAACTGTCCCTATTATAAACCATTTAGCTTAAACATTTTCCTAAACATGGAATTCTGCTAAAACCCTTATTTATTGTACATTATCTATGACAAAATTGTGTATAGTACAAAATATAGTTTTTATTTAAAAAATAAATATTGTTTTCATTTTAAAAACTTTCTATTATCAGCAAATACTTTAATCCTAAATAGTGAAAAACAGCAGTATAAAAATTTATAGCAACAATGAATCATGATTCTGTTTTCCTTTTTTTACAGAAAAAATACTACAAATTCAGTCCCTATTGTTGTTTAGCTATAAACTGCATTACAACACATTTACTCTAGTGCAAAAATTGTAGAATGATTAAAGAAAATGCAGTTATCAGTATTTGAAACAAACCTTGAATTTTGTTAGAATATGCTGTTTACTGTAATTAAAATATTAAATTCTCAATAAAAAAATACAATACCATAAAAAAGAAAAACATATTCTAATAGACACAATATAGTATATCAAGAAATAAATAAATAAATAAATATTTAACATAAGAAAACTCTGTTCCAAAAATTTTNTGTCTATTCGTTAATATTAAGTTTAAGACCTTTTTTAGCTGGATACCTTTTGCTTCAGTCTAACCGAAAAATTTTTTTTGCCAACAGTTCAGCCATACTGCGCTTGTTTTAATGAAATAAAACTTCTTACTGTATTATATATAAATTTATAGCTTCTGGAAAGAACTGATCATCACATTTGTCAGATGTGTTCATGTTGTTTACCTATCCAACTGACTACTACTAATAATTTAGAATCAAACAAACATATAATTACAATACGTAATTTGTTAGAATCTAAACAGATGAATAAATGATCTATTAAATGGGGGATTTCCCACCCACCCTGAGAATTGTCAACCCCCCTGTATCGACGCCTAAATTATGTCGCTGACATTAAAACTGTGGACTAGACCGAATATCAAATGTTACATTAACTTTTAGATTCTGTATTTACATAAATTGCAATTAAAACTTTAAATTTCAATCAACGTAAAGAGAAAAGGTACGTTTTATTGTTATTTCAAACACAAATGAATAGTTTGAACTCGCTCGCGACATATAAAAATCGATATTAAACAATATAATAAATGTTTCAAGACTATTCATTCGCTTAATAAAATAACCCTACTATTTCCTTACCTGAAGGTGGCTTCGGCAGATCCATTATAATACGATTTTACGAATTGTTTTAAAATTTCTTTCACGTTAACAAATATTATCCGCCATTTTTACAAACGCGGCGATTCCAGACGATCGAGCGGTAGCGCCCTCTGTTGATAAAATTATCGAAAATCTCACGTGAGTTGAAAACGATTTAAATGGAGACGATGGACGACGACGAATTGGAAGAAGTGAGTTATTTACTAAGGTTTTTCGCGTTATTCTCTTACGAATAAGTCGATGACAGCTCGTTTAATGTCTATAATTGTTTATTTTGTGTAGCATAAAGGGAAATAATTAATAATTTATAGTTATTTTCGGGTAATTTGTCATTCATAATTTAAGCATCTGTTTTGATTCTCGGCTGCATCACGTGCGAAGTTCAAAATTAGAAAATAATTTACTAAGCCTATTTTCGAGGTGTTAAATGCATTAAAGTCTTTTGTTTATTAATAATTTAATAAATTCGTTATGTAATTCATTTATTTCGTTCATTTTGCTTATCTTTCGGTCTGTTTGAAATGGCGATAGCAGACGACAAATTTAAACATCGCTGATTATTATTTATTATCCGTATAATTGCAANAAATTATCATTCATATTACTAAAAAAAACAAAAATAAATTTTATAACTAAAATTATCTATGGGGGGACATGATGATTTTAGAAATGTTAAAGTGGGGCATGGCCTAAAAAAGTTTGGGAAACACTGATTTAGACAGACTTAGGCCTTAATATTAAAATAATAAACCCTTTATAAAAATTTCTTTATACACTATATTCCGAGTAAACACTCTATTGTCTTTTAAAAGATTTTCTCACTTGTCTTCCTTTATTAATAGACACTTTAATATTGTTTTGATGATTGAAGTTTCTGCAGCCCTACAGTCATTATCAATCTATTTTGCTCAAGTCAAGCTTGACATTATGATGCTGTTTCTGAAGTCCTTGACAAAGTCATTCTTACTCAATGTTGTTCAAGTTGAACTTCACAGCTTTCAGGATCTCAGTTGTTCTTATTCTTTTAAATCAGGGGTTGCAAACTGGTGGCCTGCAGGCCTGATACAGCCCATTACCATTAAGGCTTCATATCTGGCCTGTGGCCTTGATAATTTCTTTTTTAAAAATTAATGTTTCTAACATCTTTTGGGTATAAAAACAATAAAAAATTATACTTCAGAAGTTAATTTAGTATCAAAAACGTAAAATATTTGAGTAGCCCAAGATATAGCCAAAGATTGCAGCACTTTAAATACAACACTGGCAAAAATTTAAATTTGTCAGTGCTGTGGATTGGAATTCTTTCGGATAATTGATGTTTCGGATGATTGACTTTCGGATAATCGACGCTCTACTGTATATTGAAATTATCTAACCTGAAAATATTTGCCTATTATGTTTTCAGGTTATATAATTGTCCTTCTTAAAACTACAGTCACATTTAATATATAAACACAGCTGTAACTTTATTTTTATTGCTTATATTTTATTATTGTTAATCACATACACAGCTTATAAATCTAGCAAAATGTGTATCAGAAACTACTCTGTAATTATCATTCAAGTCTAAAAAGCTTATAATTACATTCATAATTACTTTTGTATTTTATATACTGTGAATGCTTGCTTCTTTCAACATGAAATATTTTAAAATTTTATTATTCATTTTAGAAATTATTCTGAAGTATTTATATGCTTCATTTTAATAAACTGCATTGTAATTGTAGCTGAATAAGATTTAAACAGGCCAAATACTTAATATTGCAATAAACTTTAGAAACAGAATATAATTGTTTTTAAAAAGTAAATTTACTTATATTGTTGTTATGAAAATAAATTAAATTGAAACATTAACTGAAAAAAACAGTGTCTTGTTCTATAGATGTTCTTTAAACATCTATAGAATAAGACTCATCAAGACTTAGAGAACAAGATTCATTTTAAATTTCATTTAAGTTCTTGTTTATAAGTGATTTTAATTAAATAATCTCATCTATACACACACTAAAATATACGACTTACTTCTGACTCAAAACCAAAACAGTGCTTAGTTCAATATACCTTCTCTAACGTTTTTGAACTTAGTTCTTCTTCAAGTGAATAAAATAAAACGGGCAGAATTGATGTTATTTGAACGTATCTGTTTCCTACGAATTCTGAAACGCAGACTGCGTAAGTAAGTGATTTTAATTTTCTTAATATTTATTTATTAAAAATTATCTCCGATTTGTAAAAGCAATATATGTTATTTTTGACATATTTCACTACAATACTCAATTTTTTCATTTATTCTGTAGTTCAGATAAATAAAATCTGTTTGTTGTTGTCAACTAAACAAAATTGTACAACTTGAACTCCCACAGAGGTGCCAAATAGCTATCAAAAGAACTGTGTCAAAGTCAACAGAGTTGTTTAAGAACAATAAAATTATCAATAACTACCTGCTTTAAATACAAGATTTCTCTAATCTTTATGAAGAATCAAAATAACAAATATACTTCAATGATTTTTCCTATCATATAGATTTATTTATTAATACATAATAAAAATAGTTCATTAATAATCAAAAATTAAAATTACATCTATTTTAAGCATTATATATACACATGTAATAGAGAATATACATGTATGTACAGAGAGAAATAAACACAAATAATTCAATTATTAATCAATAATACCATCTTTAATTCAAATAGTTATTCAAAAAACTACTGGAATTAGAGAGAATGTAATTTATTTGTGCATACTATCCAGTTTTAATAACTTATTTAATTCAATTGCTTTTATCTTATTTTCAATATAACATTAGAAATGGACATATGGAAATAATTTGTATATATATTCAATTTTACATAAAATTGATATTTTATAAATCTAAAAAATAATGTTTATGCAGTAAATAATTGTTCAATTTCTATAATTTATTTTTTATAGCTACTCTTCTTTGAAATTAAAATTTTAAAAAACATTAAATAAAAATAATTTTAATAAAATTTGCTTTGAATACTTTTAGCTTCTCCAAAATTAGGACACTTAAAATGAGATTAAACTTGTACAAGGATACAAAGCTGTACTAAAGCAAAGTCAGCAACATTTTGTATCAGCAAACCATGTTTAGTTTGCAGCTTTACAACACATGCCACACAATAAAAATAAAAGCCAATAAATTACATTTACCTATTTAATTGTCATTTATCATCAAGAAAACAAATGAAAAGAAAAGTAATTTTTGATAAGAAATAATTCAGTTTAAAAAACTGTATGATTGTTTCTTAGTCAAAAAATAAAATATACTAAATGAGGTTATTTGATAACACAATTGACTAAAATAATTAACATGAAACGATATTTGAACACAAAAAGAATTTTTATTTTAGATATTGGAAAATTTTTGGATTTTGTTTTGAAATTTAAAAATAGAATAATAATATACCATGCAAGAGTTCTGCAATCATTCAAAATCAATATATTTCATTGTTATTTCAGGATGCTGGCTTACATGATTGATTATTTTGCTTGATTACCTATGTTAATTAAATCAACTATTTTTTTGAAAGTTAAAAAATTCAACTTTAATGTTAAATGAAAAACTATAAGATTTCTTAGAAACTGTTTTATGATAAAATAGGAAAATCCAATACTTTCACCAAATGATCGTCTAAATAAATTATTACATTTTCAAAAAACATGAGTTGACTATGTCACAGATGTTTTCATATTCCATTCTCAAGGATTTATGATGATTATATTAACATTTACTGTAAATGTATGTATTTTAATATGATTTTATGTGCATTTAACACTTTTCTAGTGATATTACAACTTCAATATTTGTGGCAGAGATGTAAAATTGAATAAAATGACTTAAACTTAATTTTTTATTTTTCCATATATTTTTTTTTTTGACAAATAACGTATAATCAAGAATGACTTAACTTGAAACGATGTAACCCAAGGTATACCTGTATCTTGTTTTAATTAATTAAAGACCACTTAAATCAAGAATTCAAAAGAAATCAAGAATTATAATAGTATACTTGCTTACTGGAGAATAAAATCAAACGTTTATAAAAAACGTCAATAAAAAAACGTTTTCAAACGCTTAATGCGTTTGAAAACGTTTTAAGTTATTAAAGAATTTTGCTGGATAGTTGAATGGTTTTTATTTTTATTGAAATCAAGAATTATTTACTGTAATTTACTACTTTTCTAAAATAAAAAAAATCACATAACCTGCAATCCTTTCAATTGTTTCTCTTATATACAGATAATCTACAAATTATAAGCATAAAAATATGGTACTTAAATTATATAATAATGTTGTAACTATAAAGTTTAACAAATAAAGCAAATAAATCAAAATGTACTAATCAAATGATACTGACAGATTTTATTCATGCTATAATATGGCTACTTAACTGTAAAGATATTATGTAATTTGATAAAGATAAGCACCATAAAACAGCAACTGCACACAGAGTTTAATCTTCCAAAACGAATGTTTTCTTAACCCCTTCTGGGTTCTTCACGAAAATGAAAAATTTGAACAAAGCAGAACACTGCTAAGTTTGAATCATTCGATTCATTTGAGTATTCCGTCACGTGACAGGTTTAAAAGTGCTTGAACTTAACGATCAATGTCCAAACTCGAGAAAGGGTTATGTTAAAATCAGGGCTGTGGAGTCGGAGTCGTGGAGTTTTGGTGTTTTAGCCGGAGTCGGAGTCGGTAGATTTTTATGCGACTCTACAGCCCTGGCAGGGCTGTGGAGTCGGAGTCGTGGAGTTTTGGTGTTTTAGCCGGAGTCGGAGTCGTCAAAAAATCCGCCGACTCCGACTCCTTTTTACCTACCAACTTGTTATGTATATAAAACGAAAAAGTATTGGAATCGTGTCAAATTTGACCCTCCAAGTTTTTTTTTTTTTAGCAAATCTACACGTTTTGATACCTCCCAAAACCCTCAAAAAGTCAATAAAAGGGGAAAAATTGTGTGTGTGTGTGTTGGCGTCTAATTTGTTTAATTTCTTTATTTTCTGTTTTGAGATATTAAACAATATCTCAGAATGGGTAAAGTTTAAGAAACGAAATGTGGCACTGTGGCTTGC